ATGGGAGGGAAAAGGACAGAATAGCCTCTTATTCATAGGAAAAGCCAGAGGGTGATACCAGAAAGGCTGAATTCTGCACAGTTCCCAACATATTGGTCAATGCAGAGTTTAATCAACTGGTACATACTGAGAATTGATTCAAAGATTTAATATCAAGACATGAGAAAGTCTGATGACTCAGGTCCAGTAAGGTCACTCCTGTAGGATGATCCTGGGTGTCTGTATAATGGAAAACACAGAGCAGTAATTATTCTCACACATGTTCAGACTGGAAGGAATAAAATTATTGTGTGTGTGTGTGTGTGTGTGTGTGTGTGTGTCTGTGTTTCTCTTGTTGCATTTATTTTTATTCCAAAGCCATTTACAGAACCCCAGCTATGTGCCAAGAAATTTGTATATTTACCTTAATTAAGCTTTTATTGAGTATATACTACATTTACTAGGCTCGGGGAGGCCAAGGATACTGATAAAAATAAGTCACAGCAACTGCAAACCTCAAAGAATCTGTGGAAGATGAATAAAAAAGAGGCCGGTGTGATATGTAAATAAAGCAAAGTGTGATTGGCACAAGGTTAGAGACCTTCACAGCAGTGAAGACAGGGCATCTAACCCAGCCACAAGGAGTTGGTGACTGGGCCAAGCCAAGACAATAAGCAGGAGCCAGCCAGGAGGAGACAGGAAGAAAACCATCCTGGGCTCAGAGATCGCTGTACTCAGACAAGAGGCGAGACCCTGGGTTATGACTGGTTATGACTGAGCACCTTGCTGACTGCTTGTGGGCTCTGAGATTAACCCCTCAGGGAGCTCCAGTTTGAGTCCTTCATGTGTTAGACAATGGATTAGCAAACTAAGACCCAGGGGTCCAAGTCTAGCCACCACCTGTTTTTTAAAATAAAATTTTATTGGCACACAATCATCCCCAATGGTTGTCTTGTCTACGGCTGCCTTAGCACAGCAAAGGCAGAGTTGAGTAGCTATGACAGAAACTGTATGGGCCACAGAGCTTAAAATATTCACTATCTGGCTCTTTACAGGAAAAAAAAAAAAAATGCCAATCCTTAAGCTAGACTACAGCAGCCATGCTCTCAGCTGTCACCACTCCCGGTCATTTAAACCCAGGAAGATACAGTTCTTTAAAGGAAATGTGTATCAACCCAGGAAGAAGTGAGTGGGGGATAAAAGAGAACCGGGACTGAAATGGTGGGGAATGGATGTGGTAAAAGGTAGGACAGATCTCCAGGTAGAGAAAAGACATCCTCTCTTCAGAAGATGTAGGGCTAGTATAGGAGGAAGCTGTGAGGATACTGCTCTTGTCAGAAGACTGGATTATTTCCCCCCATAAAGTTGTTTCATTCTGCATTAAAAAAAAAAAAAAAAACACACAACTGTGCAGCCTTATATTTTTCCAGATTTAGGGGACTACACGGAGAGTTCTTTTTATAAAGTATAATCATGTAAGAGGAAGATAGCACGTCAAGTTTTTCAGCTGGGAGGCCAGATACAATTCAAAACAGAGCTGATGGCCTCTGTGGGACTGGAACAACCTGAAGTGGAGAACAGAATCCATACAGCCTCTAGACCCGTCTCTGGCTGCCTGGTGATGAATGCGTAAACTAAGAAGACGTTTCATTGACTGTCTTCCAGTCCCATGAGCACAATGCAGTTGATAAATATTTATTGAATGTGTTTTCCTAGGGCTTCACAGCACTGACTCAGTGATAACTTATAATCTAATACACGAGAATGGTTCGGGGTGGTTACAAATACATGAATGTGTAAAGGAATCAAGCTAGAAATGGGCATTGGAAAGAAAAAAACAAACAAACATGCTTCCATCTGTGGACAAAGTAGCCAACCAGTGCTAGCTTTGGGGTACATAAGAATGAAGCATGTCACACAAACCCTAGAAGTAAAGATTGCAAGAGAGAGGGGGGAAAAAAGAAAGGGAAAAAAAATAAAGAAAGGAGGGAGATTTACAAACGGCTGTGTTTCTGAACAATAAAAAATACATACATTTTTAAAAGCCAATCTTTTTTATTCTTTCTGGCTTTAAGTGGGTAATACTTTCATGTGTCACTGAAATGGCTCCTACACTCAAGTACCGGCAGAGAGTTAACTAAGATGGGCTCCCAAATTGCCATTTTTGCAATAGAGATAAAATATGGCTCTCTGCCACCATTTGGAGCTACAGTACCAATAAACTGATGCAATCCTCCCTAAGCCCCAGCCGCATTAGATTCTGAATGGTGGATTGCCATCGTGGGCTAGGGAAGGAGTGTTAGGGTATGTTTATTTAAGACTGAGCATTTATCCTGAGTTAAAAGCAAATTAAAATAGTTGAGGTAATATTAAAAGGGGGCAATGTCATTAGCACGTTCTCCCCTGGGCATCCTCTTTCATTCCCTGAGAAGGCTGAGAATGCACAGCCCACAGTGAGAGCAGCAGCCTGGGCGGTGCTGAAAAGCAAAGGCATCTTCATGTGTCCGGCTTTGTAGAAGGAAGATCTTGCCTCTGGAAAATGATCCAATAAGCAAGCCTACAAGTTTAATGCAAATACTCAGAGATTCTGGCCATGGCCATCCAATAACTGGAAAGAAGACAAGACAGTGTTTGCCCAGGTCCACCTTTGTTGGCTCTGACTTTGAGGATCCCCCATCCACTCTAACCCCACAGCTGGAGAGGAAATCAATGCTCTAGTGCTGTCACATGGCAAGAAAAAGGCAGATCCAAGATGGAAACCAAGACTTCTCAGGGTTCTTTTCAGAAAACCATCCCAGGAGTGGGAGGTCCTCAAGCCTACATATACAGGACCTCCCTTGAAAGTAGCTGTGGCCCCTTGGAGAAACCCAAAGAAGACAGACAAAGCTTGAGTCACAACATCATGAGGGTTGTTTTTGCCCTTTTGATGTTCTGTAGATGGAATTTGGGTCACAGGCTCTAAAACCATCAACTCAACCAGGGAAACTTGCCCAGAAATTTATAAATTACTCCTCACCACCAATACAATATATTTTTCAAGCCGCTTCCTAATTTCACTCCATTTTGACTTCAAGATCATCTACCCTCTTTCCAAAAGAGACAGAAGGATTCTGGAGTTCCCTTCCTTTCCTAGAGGTTACCATCACTCCTGATCATCTCTGCAAAACCTGCTTGAGGCATCCTCATGCATTGAACACCTTCAGTGGCTTTGCTCTTGGAGACCAGAGAAGGAGAGCGTAGGTCCCTAGCAAGAAAATGTGGGAAAGGTATTCTAATGTTTAGGATGCTAAAAGGAAATTCAGGAAGGCCTTCGTAAAAACGGAGCCATCAAGCTTCCTGGACAGGAAGCGAGATTTAATCACAAAATGGAGAAGGGAAGGTGGCTCTGAATGCTCCCTGCCCTCCAAGCCAGGTACTCAGGCAGACTCACCCCAAACCCAGCTATGCATGCCTCTTTACTCGCCTCCAATAGTCCCCCTGCCATTCCAAGGCTTGATTACCTCTGCGGCTTCCATAAGATTCTAAGGTATTTACCAGATTGCCGATGGAGGCTGAACATCCTGCTGTCACGTTGCGCTGGTTATTTATGTGCCTCTTCTCCCTGGAGAAATTAGAGGCTCGAAGCCGAGAAGGAAACGCTGTGTTCTGCATACCGCAGGTGCCCGGTGTGAATGTGTGGCATGCATACTGATTGAAATTGCTTTACTTGTAGCCCAGTCTGGCCTCGAGATCCTAGAAGTCCAAAGAGTGTGGAGAACGAATTATGTGGAATTATGTGGAGGCAGCTGACACCTGTGCTGCTGTCTACTCACATCTTAAGTCTCCATTGACCATTCTGTCCCTGGAAGCCAGAAACACCTGCGTGTCTGAGAATCAGATGCACCATTCTGAGGATTTTCCAGATAATATTTAAAGCCCAATGGCAGTATAAGACCTCATTCCTACTCTGAACAAAATGCATGCATATTTTAAGGGATGGATCCATACACTTTGCAAGAAAAATACACAAAAGAATATGCCTTTTTTAAATGGAGAGGCAACATTGATGTGATTATAACTGACATGAAATGTTGATTAAAATGATTTTTATTTCTAAAATGTACACTGTCCCTCAAAGGCTGCACACAAATTCAAATGTGTGGACACATTGAGTGCCAGGTCCCAGTGTGAGAGATGGAAGCAGGGCCCTAAGCCCTGAGGCCTCATTCACTTTGCTTCCCCCTTCCTCTTCCTGCAAGGAGCTTTCACGGACCCTGTCCTTTGACAGGCTCTATTGTGTCTGTCTCAGCAGGTGGAGAATTTCTTCCTTCTCCTGAGGCATGGGTTGTTATCACACACTCTCTTCTAGATGTTCAAAGGATTGATGAGGCTATCTCCAGGAGCCGTTGTTGTTTTTGCTTTCTCACACACACATACTCACTTTCCTTCAAATTGTGTGGGCTGATGGAGGATTGCTAACCTTTTAAATTGCCACTTAAGAACTTTAAAAACTACTGTTTTTATCACCATTATTCCCTACTCCAAAAAGGGTAAAGATAGTCTTTAAATTGAATACATTTATGACCTTGGTTGTTGTTTTCTTCTGATTCGCTGTAAGCCACTGACCTATACTTGGACATCCTGTTCCTAGCTTCGACGTTTCTATGATGAAAACTTCTCTCCTGGAATATTGCTTGATGGGATCTGAAATAGAAAATCTGCCTTATTTTTCTTATGGATTTTAGTTATTTTCTGTCATAAGAATCATAACACTTATGGATAGACTATGAAAGAGATATCAGAAAATAGTTGTAACAGTTGTGGTGATTGGGGGTGAGAAGGGTGAGAGGGGTGGGTGGAGGAGGATGGGATGGGGAGACAAATGATGGTGAAAAAATATTTAATTTAATTTTAAAAAGAAAACATTTATAAAACTCACCAGGATTCAAGGGTTTGGGGGTTTTCCTTGGGAGGAACAATACATAATCTAATGTAGATTTTGGTGACTAAATCGGATCTTTGTCCTTTCCTCTCTGTTCCAGGTACATGGCCATCATCCATCCCCTCAAGCCCCGGCTGACGGGGACAGCCACCAAGGTGGTCATCTTTGTCATCTGGGTCCTGGCTCTCCTGCTGGCCTTCCCCCAGGGCTACTACGCAACCACGGTGACCATGCCTAACAGGATGGTGTGCATGATCCAATGGCCGGAACACCACAACAAGATTTACGAGAAAGTGTGAGTAGAGATGACTCCCTGGTGCCTCTTCGCCCTTTCTTGTTCCTTCTTTCTTTCCACGTTCTTTTATCAGTTAGGATTTCATGTGGATCTGTAAGCACTCTTCAACACCAATCTGGTATTGGGTCGATGTGTCCATCGGTATCAGGGGACTATTATGTCCCAAATGTTATTCTGGACTTTAAAAGAAAATCAAAATAAAAGACCCGGATACTGTTCTGGCAAACCCTTTGGGTGCCCTTCCTATTCTTCCTGCCTTTTATCAGTGACTCTGCCCGGCTGTGCCTGCATTTCTTTGCCTGGGAACTTCTCCTGAGCCACAGAATGCCATCTGCCCTCTTGCACAGTGTGAGGCCAACAGTGGGATTTAATCAACCCAGCAGCATGGGGGGGGATCAAGGCTCAGCCAAGAAGGGACACTGAAAATTATTCTTTCGAACAAAACTACAAGCCTGAGCAGGGTCTTGATGGGAGAAAGAACATAGCTTTCCAAGCCATAAAGGATGCAGGAGCACATTCAGTCCAGAAGGTGCCCTCAAACGTGGGGGAACCCTCTGAATTAAAGTTTATTATATGAGCTGCTTCAAAAGCTGCCATCTCCTTCATGGAATGCAGTTTGATTTTTTTTTTTTTTTTTTACTTTTTTAAATCTTTATGGTTAAAAGTATTAGTTATGTTCCTCTTTATCCTCCACTGACCCCTTCTAGCCCACCACCACCCCTCACCCCAGACCTTCACCTCGCTATTACCTGTGTCCATGGATTATGCATATATACATACAGGTTCCCTGGTTAATCTCCTCCCACCCACCCTGCCTTCCTTCTGTGGTTCGACAGTCTGTTCGATGCTTCTATGTCACAGCTCAGCTCTTTAGTCATCACAATCTTTTCAAAGTCAGATCACCTTTCTACAAGTTTAGTTTCAAATACACACAGTTCTTTTAGCTTCCAACAAATTCACAGTTGAACTTGGAAATAAAAGTTTACTTTCCCACAGATCTCTTGGGGTAGGGGGGTGGGGGTTGTCCAAGAAATTAGTGTTTTGCTTTTGAACATTTTGCTGCGGTATGCTTATTAATGAGTAGAAAGGCCCCTTGAGACACAACTCAGCGTGCTAGGCTGTCCTTTTCCTTGCTCAGAGTGTGTAGGGTTGCTGCTGCTGCTACATATGTGAGTGGGTTTGCTATCATTGTTTATATCATGATTTTTATCCTAAAACATAAGTCCACATAAGGGCATGTGATTTTACCTTTTCAAGATGAATAAAATGTTTATGAATGTAGCAGTAAGTTGAAAGAATCTATATTTGCCATTCATGTATGGGTTATGATGCAAACATAAATCAAGGGCATAGGAAGCTTCACGTAAACCTACTTTCTGTATGTCAGTACCCTTCATAATCATCATGTTATAATTTTAAGGAATTTTAATTTTTCCTGCTGTAAACTAAATACTTGGTTATATTCTCTTCTGTTAGAAATGATTGCCATCCCCATGGTACATGTCAATCCTGAATTTGGAACCAGAAAAAAATCTTTGTTTGAGGCAGGATAATAATGAGTATAAGCAGTTAGATGGGGGATCAACTTTCAGTCATTTCACTCTCTAGTTGAGTCTAATGGTTATTTAAGCCTCTAAGCCTAATAGAGATACTGAGAGAGACAAATAAGATACCTTGCTTTGCCCAGCACCATGCACCCAGTAAGAGTCTGGTGAATGTTAACTATTGTGGTTGACATACTTTGACCTGGGTGCATGGGAAGATGACTGTCAGCAGACAGGGTGGTGGGCAGATGCTTAGGCCCAAATCATCCCGTTAATAATTTGGGCCAGCTAATTATATAAAGAGGTATTTTCTAAAAAATTGTAAGTTGCTGCATTTGCCCTCTCTGGCTTCATGATGAACCTCTAACCCTGATTATTCATAATTTAAACTCTTTATCAATACAAGGATTAAATTAAGCACTATTAAAAGAAGGCAATCCAATAAAAGAACAGGCAAAAGTTTTGAACATCTGCTTCACAGAAGGAAATATCCAAATGACCAATTAACATATGGGGAGGTCCACAGCTTCATTCATCACCAGTGACCTGCAAATTAAAACCATGAGATCTTACTGCACACCTACTAGACTAGCAAATGTTAAGAAGCCTGACTAGCCGAAACCGGTTTGGCTCAGTGGATAGAGTAGGGGTGTCGAACTCAATCAGAGAAGGGGCCAAAATCTAAAATCCAGCCTAAATCGCAGGCCGAATGGTTTACTGAACAGTCATAAACTGTCATTGTGATGGAAACACAGCGGAGTGCAGTGATGACAGCGCGGTGCGGGCCACATTGCAAGGCCTGGCGGGACGGATTTGGCCCGCGGGCCTTGTGTTTGACACATGTGGGATAGAGCATCGGCCTGCGGACTGAAAGGTCCCAGGTTCGATTTTGGTAAAGGGCATGTACATTGATTGCAGGCACATCCCCGGTGGGGGGTGTGCAGGAGGCAGCTGATTGATGTTTCTAACTCTCTATTCCTCTCTCTTCCTCTCTGCAAAAAATCAGTAAAATATATTAAAAAGAAGCCTGGCTACACTAAGCATTTAGAACTTTTGGTAATGATGAGGGACAATGAGAACCTTTGTAGACTGCTAAGAGAAGTATACATTGATAAAACCACCTTGGGAAACCTTTTGTAGTATCTAGGAAAAAAAAGAAGCTATTTATACCCTAGGACCTCCCAATTTCACTCTGGGTAATAACCTTAGAAAAACTCATGGGTGTATGCACCCAAATACACGTAGCATATTGTCCGTATTATCAGCATTGTTCTTAATGCCCCAGCCTGGAAATAGTCCAAATATCCATCATCAGTAGAGTAGATTTAAAAAGTTTGTGGTACAAGCATGAAACAGAATATTCTATAGTTAATAGAATGAATAAAATATTACTCTATGCAACATGGATGACTCTTATAGACAAAGTTTTAAGACAGGCAAAATGAAAGCATATCTTTAAGAGTGCAAAATTATAAATGCAAGCAAAGAAGTCGTCGCCATGGAAGTGCAGACTGTGATTTTTCTCTCAGGGGAGGGATAGGATGTGATCAAGAAGGGACACTGAGAAGTTCTTCTGGGGGGATGGCATTATATTTCCTGAGCTCAGTGGTAGTCGCATGAATGTTTGCTTAAAGGTTACTTATTATACCAGGTAATTTGATGTATGCCCTTTCCTGAAATGTATGTTTCATGTTTTTTACAATTACAATTAAATGCTATTTAAAGAATTTTGCTTTTACAAAGTCAGGAAACTGCTTTTATTGGGATAACCCCAACAGTTTCTCCATAAGAAATGATCTTCTGTGGGCTTTGCCTGGAATGGCATTACTAATAAGTACTTCCCTCTGATAAGACAGCGTGGACGGGCCCCAGCCATTCTCATGTTTACTTGACCTCTGCATTTTGCCTTCCTATGCTCCAGCCCATGGAACTTTCCCAGCTGTCCTTAGGGGGTACAGGACAAATGCCTTTCCTGGGAGGCATGTGAAAATGTTAACCAGAGAATAAGGCCCAGACAGTCTCCACAGCCCTCACCGCTTGCTTCTATATTCATAAGCATGTACCTTTGGGCTACAAAATGCTATAGATAAGCTTGGTTTGTATTCTTGCAAAATCATTTAAAACATTATATTATACTTAAAACTATGCATTATGGAGTGCAGTGAAAATTCCTATAATTTATTTAATCACTCATATTTCCATTATTTATGAAAGGCTCTAACATTTTGATGAATATCCTTCCCGTATTTTATTCCATCTCCATGGAAATATTATTCTTAGTTTCTTTTGATATATATATATATATATATATATATATATATATATATATATGTATATATGTATATATGTATATATATATTAGTATTATAGAACATAAAACGTAGCATATTACACCAACCATAGCATATTATGTACATTTTTCTGGATCCTGTTTTTTATTTAATTTAATGCATCTTAGAGATCTTTCCACATCACTTCATAAAGAGTTTCTCTAGTCTTTAGTTCAGCTGCACAGTGCTTCACTTTATAAATATACAGTATTATTTAACCAGTCACTTTGGGTGGACTTTGGTTTGTCTCCAGCCTTTTGCTATTACACAGTGTTGCCATGAATAATCTTTACATATGTCATACAATGCTATCTGAAGCATATATCACCAACAATGGAATTCCTGAGTCAAAGATATATGCCATTTTAACTTCAATATTTGCCCTGCATATGGGATTGTACTAATTCACATTTCCACCAGCAATGTGTGAGCATCCCTATTTCTCCACAGCTTCACCAACAGGGTATATTATCAAGCTTTTAGATTTTGGCCCATTATAGTTAAAATTTGCATTTCTCTTATTAAGTGTGGGTTTGAACATCTTTTCACAATTTAAGAGTCATTTGTATATACATCTTATAATCTATTTATTTATTTATCATATCATCATCAATTTCCTGGGGCATCAAACATGTTTCTACCATTTGTGAATATAGTATATACACATAGATGTGCATGTGTATTTGGCTAATAATCTTGTTAACTAATTCTCTCCTTGGAACATTGACTATTCAGTGGTTTCTCTTAGTTGACTAGTAAGATAAAGCATCATGCTCCACAGTGGGATCCTTCTAGCTACATCCATAGATACCTGAGGGGACTGTCCAGTGTCCTCCATCATCCCCTGGTTATGTTTGCAATCCATAGTTAGGAAATTATGCTAACATTATAGCTCATGAAAGTGAACTTGTTGTTAGTGCCATGTTGTCACATTTTGTAATTGATTCCAGCAATAATTAGCAACTACACAACTTAGCCGTGGCTGCTCTTACAAAACTATGACACAGCCCAGGAAGTCCTATAAATGTGCAGTTGATTGCCTGATGAAGAAAGATTTCACGGGTAACCAAGAGTAATTCTTTCTCGTGGAGAAAAAGCACAGTAAAAGAAAGATGAACGTACAGAG